CAAGCTTAACTGTTAGTATTTGTAGTCAAAAAATTATATACGAACAATTAAATCAAAAAAAAAAAAAATATTTTGCGAGACCACTGATGATGGCTATTTAGCAATACTACAAAGTGTTTTGTATCTACTTCGAAGAGTAAAAGAAGTAACATCAAGTAAATTTTTAGTCAAAAATATTTTTTAAATTTTTAGAAGGGTTCAATCAGTAATGAAGAAACAACAAATATATTTTTTATTAATTTATTGAAATTCGGCTGACCATACAATTCTGTTTCGAGTATTACCAAGTACTCATCATCAGTGATCTTAGAAAATATTTGAATAGATAAATTTTATTTAATTTATATGTAATTAAAAATTAAATAAACATTTAAATAATGTTTCGGATATATCTATTATCAGTGGTTTTTGAAAAAACCTATTGATTTCATTTTTTTCTCATCTTGTTGAAATTTATAAGGATATTAAAATTTTAGCTATAACATATGATAAATTTGTAACAAAACTTTAAGAACCGTTTTCATATTTCAAAATTAAAGACTTTTAATATTTCCATATTTATTTTCAATAGTATAAGTACAATGTACTATATTATATAATATATTATAATATATTGTGCTATATATAGTGCTATATTACTATATTACTAAACTATATACTATTATTCTTATTCCTATTGTATACCATTATTACTATATAAATTTTGGAAATTGTAGAAATTTATATTTCATAAATTGAATTTTTTTATAGAGACATGATTTATTGCACATTTTAATATTATTTTTCTTATGTATATATCCTTATTTGGGAACTTAATAAATATAAGTTATACTAATTTTATGCTATGATTCAATATATGTATTGACATATGTTTAGATCGCCATGCCAAGTATTTATTAAAAGTCGTTTTTGATTGTTAATTTTAGATTTACATCCTTTTTATATCCCCATTTTGCTAGAGTTTTGTGATCCAATCGAACATGTTCACGGTAATACCAACATTATTTGACAGCTACACATATAATTGACAAGTCAGTACGGCTTAAGAAAATGGGTGGAAATAACCATCACCACGGTTAAGTCTCTCATACGTAAATAAATGATTAATTTTATATAAATATATTATAATGTTACAAACACACGAACTTTTTGTTCTTTATTTTTTTCAATAATATCGTCTATAAAGGTCTCCACCCTAAGATTTTTTTCTTTACCGATATTTAAAAAAAAAACATTGAACATTTCAAAATTATCGAAAGAATCATCCTTAGACGTTGACTAACTTTTAGTCAGATGTTAATGAGAATGTTTTTATTTTAATTTAATTTTTAAACTTGTAAGTATGTAAATATAATATTTTAAATAAATATTTAAAATGGTAAATACACTTTAATTGTCAAATAACATAAAATTGCTGTTAATATTACGGTAATTTTATTAATCTTGCAAAATATCTAGAATGTTATATATTAATTCTAAGTGGTATACATTTTGCCTGAGATTAATCAATACATAATGAAAACTATACTAAAAGTAAATTTCAGGTGGAAAAATTACCCTATATTTATAAATCGAAAACGACGTAGATATGATTCCAGTTTTTGATAGCCTTTATTAACTATACAGCAATCTTGTTATATTTATTTCAAAATAAAAAGGAGAGAAATAGGATATTAGTTTCAGATTCAAATAATATATAAATACAATTGGTTAAATATTGAAAATAAAATCAAAAAATTAAATACAGTTCAAAAAAATTATAATTCTTCTGTTGTTTACCATTTTATGTAGATATGTTAAATACATAATTAATTTTATTGAGTGTTAATATTTTTTTAATTATTTATTTAATGTGGCTGTTTCTGATAATGAAATGATTGATTTATGCAAAAATTATCTTTGAAATTTTTGTGGACGATAAGACCATTATAACTTATATGTTATCTTATCTGGGTTATATTTCTCTACTTTTAGTGCTGTTAAGTGTCGTTTTCATTTTACGGGTGGAATTAGTAAGAATGCTGTATACGTCGCAATGATACGAATTCAATTTAGTCGAAGTGTAACATTTTCAGCGATTTATTTAATTTGTTTAGTAACGGAGATGAATTCCGTTTTACAAGTTCGGATATTGTTTAATAAATATATATATCTTTATTTAAAATTATTACTAAATGACTTTATTACAAAGTCGACTTTTCGACTTTCGTATTTATACTTTCGAATAAATATAGAAATTGCGAATATCCTTATAACAAAATGCATTTCTTGATGTTTGAAATATATATAGAAAAAATGAAAAAAATAGAAAAAATATGTGAATTAATGATTATATTAGAAGTAAAAGTAATAAAAGTATTTGGAAGTTGGCGTGGTGAGTATCTGGTGAGATTAGTCCTGTATGTTAAAGTTTATTACGAAGGATAACGAAGTGAAACTTTATTTATATATTTTATCGTTAGTAGCTGTGAATTCTTTTCTGGAAATTCGGATATGCAAGATAATTTTTCAGAAATATAAATGAGATAAAATTCATGATTGCTGACATAATATTGAATACAACATCGGAATTGAAATTAAAGGCAAAAATGTTTTAATCCTAATGAAGATGATTGGAAAAAGCGATCTGGTGCTTGAATGCCTCCTGAATGAAGTGAAAAAAATTTAATGGACAGAATTTTCATATATCAAATAATGTTAAAATTGAATGGAATCAAGCAATTTTTTAAATGTATGGTAATTGGTGAACATAATTAGATCACATATGATATTGTTGTATAAAACGGTATAACACGGAAAATTATGAAATAAACGATAGACTAAATGTTCTGTATGCTTGGTACGTTTGTAAGAATGTAATAGAAGCATATAACAATATAAGCTTCTACTACTGGGTGAAGCCTTCCAAACCTTTATGCTTTATTTCTTGTTGCGAGAATATAATATTAAATTTAAATATATTTTGGAAAAATAAATATTCTTTGTTCCCTGTTTTTTTTTGTATAAAAAAATTGAGATTTCCACTAGTAAAACTTATCGAAAAATAAAAAAAACTATAAATTGAGTTTAAGACGCGAAATCTAATCAAATGGACGGTAAACTTTTGAAAATTATAAAAATTTTCATGTTTTAACTAGTCCCTTCTTCTTTTTTTACTTGATCAAACACAAGTCACTGTAATAAGGCCTTCATTCAATTCTGAAAGTAACTTATTTAGATTATTTTATAGAAATATACTTTGTAGTCTAGCATATCTTTCTGATGGAATATGCATTACATTTGCTTTCAGAGACTGCAATGGTGAATTAATGTGTGAGTCTACAGAATAGAACAATTTTAGCGCTCTGTCTTTGATATATTTTTCCATACTCTCGACTTTTAAGTCTTTGTATATGTCATCATATCTGATGTACCATAGAGCTTTTAGTTTACATGTCATTACAATATTCGATTTTACTAGTATGAAACTTAAAAATTAAAAACAGTTTTTTATAGTAAAAGTTCCGATTGTCTTATCATGTATGGATAGTTTATTATACGTGAGGAGAAGAATAAAAACAAGATGATAGCATAAAAGATTTTCAAAATCAAAAACCATATTATTAAAATCTTGTAGTGAAAATCGAATAAAAACAGGAAAAGAGAGGAGAGAAAGTTCTATCTCGAAACGAAATACTAAACAATATTTATATATATATATATAAATATATATGAATTTAAAAAAGTATAATTATCAATTACTGTATGCAATCTATAATATTATGCCATAGATCATGTAGTCCATGTGTAAGGTCCAAGAACCTTTTTTGAAAAGTATGAATGATCACAAAAGCTATAAATCAGTTTTAAATTGTAGTTTAACATTTTCCAAAAATTTTTCCCTCACATCTTACGAAAATTGCATTTATTTTTCAGTTTATTCATTGGAGGTGTTCCCCTATAGCTACTACTATTTTACTACTGTTGTATGTAAGGAGGTTTTGACCATAAGTGCGCTATTCTAAAATGCATTGCTTACTAATTCTTATAATTTACTCTCAGTGTTAGGATAGTTGAATTTGTTTTTGTTTTTATTTATGTGGTAGCAAAGTCTTCATATATATAGTAGAAAGTATGAGAATTACTATTTTGCTGTCACTACTATTCTATTACTATTTTCTATAATATGATATGTTTGAGTAATATAGTTCTGATTTCTAATTTGCTGCTTTTTTTCGAAATAATATCATATAAGGGTAGCAAACATATATAAAACGTAATTTGAATAACCCTTATTTATTTAAATTTAAACAATAATTTTTATTATAAACTAAATGTTGAACTAGTGACATAATTTCTCACGCAATATATTTCGCATATTTTTTTTTTTTTTGAGAAAAATTTATTAACTTCCACGTTTTAATATTACATTGTTTTTATTAAGTTGTAAATAATCCATATAAGAATAATTTTATAAGGGGTTGTACATCGATATGCTTAAATGTGGAGTTTAAAAATATTATATGTGTTTTTAAAAATTTATAATTTCATCATTATTTTCACTTAAAATCAAATAATAATTTTATTTATTTATATTATTAAACACAAGAAATCTACTTAGAAATACTTTCTTCTACCTATTTTATTCTTCTTATTAGCAGTTTTTTAAATATTGTTGTTCAAATAAAAAGAAATTACTAATGATAATTGTATAATATGATGGTCAGTCAACCGCAACGTTTATTAGCCTATGCAACTATAACCCTCCCTTTTCATATATTTTTTTTTCGAAAAGCGGGTTGATTTGACCAAATGGTTACCAACGTTACACTATTTGAGTTGGAAAATTCAAAACATTTAGTGAAAATTTATAAGCAAGGATAATGCTGTTTTAGTTTGCTATAAGCATGTATACAATATACATTGAAGTATTCACGATATACACAAAAATATATTTAATTATATTAAAAAATGATTAACAAGTGTCTAATAAGTAAATACATCAAAATTATAGAAATATTTCGATGAAATCTTCGAAAGGCATTAGTAAGAAAAGCAAAACCATGGATTATACGACTAACGCCTACAATGAAGCTGTGAGTCGTCTGAAGTTAATGTTGGCTGATTCTTATGCCACACCCAAGAGTAGCAGTACATACTTGCGTAACTATGTTGAGGATTCTACAGATAATCTCTCAGATAACTTATCGGTAAGTATTTATAAAATATTTATGAAATATTATGAAGCTAAGTTTAAAGTGTAATAGCAATTCCTAGCACCTTAACGTCTGTCTGGTAGGTCCTCAATTTGTGGAGACCAAATGCTTTATTGAATTTTAAAAACGGAAGGACAATTTGGTAGCCTGGTGAATCTTTGTTTTTATGACATATAAATGCCATATAAATGATAAAATTTCACATTCTTTTTACATAAAATATATTTATGTTATGATTTACATAAAGAGGTTTTCGAACAGAAGTGAAACAACAGCAAAAATTTTTTTTTTTATGATTATGATTTATTTAAATATTTATTTGATTTTGTTAAAATTTAAAGCTCTAGTCTAATTAGTTTCGCTTATTTCGACTTAAGACCAACTAAATTATATAAATAACCATAAATTAATCTTATTAAAAATTCTAATATAATTTTTGAAAAGGTTTTGAAAGGTAGTGAACTACAACAACAAACAATTTTTCTTTATTATTTTAATTAATTGAATTTTTGGCCGATCATCAATGATCTTAGAATTTTTTTCTTATATTTTATTATTCGTAAATAGTGAACCAAATTGAAATTAGGTTGACCATAAAAAACTTTTTCGAGTATTAGCAAATTAGTTTCTCTTCTTAAAATAAAAAAAACTATATCTTTATTTCTAAAATATTTTATTATTAGTTTGATCATTTTTAAAGCTTTCTTACCATTAATTTTTACACTTTTCTACTTCAAAGGTAATTGATCGTCCAGTTTTGTCGGATATATCCAAATATTTGTCCACAAACCAACGTGCGCGTTTAGGCTCTTTTCGCTCTAAGAAGTCGTACAGCACTTCTAAGGAAAATCTTTTAGCACCTACAATTTACCAGACCACAACACCAACTGTAGTACCTGTGGATTATTATGTACCTCCAAAGCCACAGTTATCGGCTGATAGTGTACAAGCACCAGTTGAAATTTTCAATTTCATTGAAAAGCAAGAGGATTACATAGAACAGTTAGAAAAGGAATCGAAGTATTGCCGCAATGAGTTAACCAATTTACTTGGCAAAGTTAAGGATGTTATCAATGAAAATGAGCAATTAACAGAAAATGCGCGAAACGAATTGGCAACCTTAACGGGCCACGAAAAGCACATAAGTCCTTCTTCAGACAGTGATGATAATATTTTTGCTAGCAAAAAGACAAGTACACCACGCAAAAAGGATGTGGGTCTTATTAAATCGCCACGTTATGCCAGTGCACCAAATATAGTCTATGAAGCACGTATAAGTGAGCTTGAGGCAGAGCTAATGCAAGCCAATATAGATTTGAAACGTTTGAAGAATGAAAATGAGGACCTTAAACATAAGGTGTCACTAGTTGATCCACTTGTCATAGCGAAAAATGTAGGTCCTGTTAATTGTGAAACACATCGGAAACAAATTGAGCATTTGCAGATGGATAAAGTCGCATTGGAGGAAACTGTGCGACAATTGCAGAAATCATTAGATGAAATGAAGGCTCAACAGTACAGTGCTACCTCAAAACGTCATGCAAACGATCTGATGCAAATGGAACGTGCACAGTCAGAGTTGGAGGTCAAGCATTTACGTGATGAACTTGATAGGCAACATGAACGTGTGCGGGAGTTGCAACATGAAATGTCAAGACGCATTGCTGACGAGCGTGCAAATGCTGAACGACGTTATAACAGTCAAGTCGATCAACTTGGTGGAGATTTGAGTAATCAGTGGGAACAAGTGGCTAAGCTACAATTGGATTTAGAACGACAGAAGCGTTATGAAACTGACTTAAAACGAGATTTGGCTGGTCGCAATGCACAAATTGAAGAATTAAAGATGGAATTGCGCTCAAATCGTAGCACTTTCCTGGCTGATATGGCACAGGTTAATGCTGAAAAACAATCGTTGGAACAGGAAATCACTTCATTACGCTTGCAATTGGATCGTGCAGCTAGGGAGTCGAAAACTGAGTCGGCACGATTAAATGCGGAAATAAGTTCATTGCGGCAACGCTTGGATCGTGGTGACGCTGATCTGTTGCATGCTAAGCGTGAAGTTTTGCGTTTAAATGATGAAATAGCAAATCTGGAAAAAGAGGTTAGTGGTATATAATATTATTTGTGTGTGTGTGGTATATATACTAAATTAAGCTATATAATTTATAAAGTAAATACCATATATATTTCGATACAAAAATTCACTTTATGATTAACAGAGATTGTAAATAATATATAAATATATATTTCGTAGATATATGGTATATATCGTAGATATAAATATTTCTAGTGGCAGTTACGTCATAGTAGTCATAATAATATTAGTGCACATTTTTTTAAATAATTTGTGTCGTCAAAACTAAGTGAGGTTTTATCACTTGATAAATTTTTGCATCTCTTATTTTATTTTTAATACATCACCAATCAATCAATATGAAAAATATAGAATGTTTTGAAAGAATCTAGAAAATCCGAAGTGATAATATAGTGCAGTAGTTTTATACAAAGAAGATCTATTTCTTTACTTATTAATAGCATCTAAAATGAACCTGGCTCTATTGTACAACATTTCAGACCATGTGCATCATTACTATATTAGAAATTTGAGAGTTGAAAGAAAATGATAAGATTATGATTTTACCAGAACTATGCTCCCATAGTTAAATAAAGTGTTGTTCTACTATAAGTTAGATAAAGTTAGCTTGCAAAAACTGCCTTGCATACTGAACCTCATTTGAACACAAATAATGGCCTCTTGTGATATCACAGATAAAAACATTGCTTATACGCCAAACCAAGGAGACCACTAAAATGGGTAAAAATATCAAAGTGTTCTGCACATAGAAAATGTCGAAAAGAACAGCCTTGACTTCTCCATTTAAGTAAAAGTGAATCAACTTTACAAGTAAATAAGCTTGGCTATATCCCGACTAGAGGACGTTCTTTACCATTGTGATCAAAATCTCTTGTCAGGTTACTTGAAGGACTATGAATATGTTTTGGTTTATTCAATTTTTAAAAAACTGTTACAGATGAAGTTTTCATATTAAACAGTAAATTGAATTCTATAAATTCTATTTAAAAACATACTTCATAATAATTGATTTTATAGTATCTTTATAGTATTTTTAAGTTCTTAGGAAACAAAATAATTGACTCAAGATTGCAATAGAAACAGTTTATATTTAATTTACATAGAAATATATGCCCAGTCTGCTAAGACTTAATCAATTACATATTTGATGAGCTTGAACATTAGTTGTTCGTGAGGCAACGTCCGTTAATGAACTATTGCATCTAATATCGATAGATTTCTTTCACTTCAGCTGTATTCAGATAAGTCTTCTTCTTTCCTAGATATTTGTTTGACCACACTGATTCGTGCATCAATTTCTTGTGAAAATTCTCCTCTTATATTATATAGGAGAAGCACATTCTCCAAGGACATGTTAGGATGTTTTTATGACTTCCACATACTCTCCTCAGATTGTTGTCAATCTAATCAATAAATCTTACGTAATCAACTTAAGGAATGAGAGCGTGGCTTGAAATGTCAACATAAAAGACACCCTCTTCGAAGTAATGCGAAAGCGGTTCCGAGGGGGAATAAGTCTCGCTGAAGAGGGGGTGTTTTAGTCCGTATATTAATGTTAGGAAGTGGGGCACACCATTCTCCGACGACGGTCAGTTTGACGGTGCATAAAGCATTCCAGGTCCTCACAAAAAAAAAAAAAAACTTAAGGAATGCGAAATATAAACAGAAAAATTGATTGTATTAAAGCTATATTTGCAAGCAGTCATAGTCTCGTCAAATGTATATATGTCAATATGTATAAATTTAAAATTTGATGTTGAGAAAGAGAAAACATTAGAAAGAAGTTTGGTGATGTTTTTCGAAATTTTATTAAGTTGTAATGTTCATTCTTGGAGGATTTGGGGATTATATCTTCTGTGACGCAAGTTAATTTCGTTTGTATCACATACGTTTGTATGTGATTTTGTGTAAATACATGTAAGGTTAATTAAGAACTGTTTGTCAGTTCTTTATTATTAGCTTTATAAGAGCTCTTTGGCTCTAGAAAATATATTTGTAGATACATATTTTAATCGCCAACAGAACACTGATTAAGGCATATGACTTTTATGACAATAGTTTCTAATATTGAAAAGACACTAGAGTAGTGAAGTAGAATAGTTTTTCTGTTTTATTATCAAGCAATAAATTGGCCATTTTGAAGTTTGCTCAGATGACAGTAGCAATCCGTCTGATAGTAGATGTCATCATTAAACTTTAAGAAGCCCCGTTGGTTTAAACAAATTTAGTGATCTTTTAATCAATTTGACACTGCTTTGAGAATATTTCGTATATATTGTAATACTCAAAGTTTCTTTATAATCAACAAGTGTACCCTCTTTTGACCAAACACGGCACCACTGTCATCGCTCAGGCACCGTGCGACTTTTTCCTATTCCCGAAATTCAAATTGCCGTTTCGTGTTAAGCGTTTTGAGTCGATTGAATCGGTAAAAGAGAATTCGTCGAAGAAACTAAAAGCCATACCTACACGGGCCTACGAAAAGTGTATGACAGATTGGGTTAGATTGGGAAGATTGCATCGCTTCAGAAGGAGCATATTTTGAAGGAGATAAAATAAATTTAGAATAAAATTTAAATTTGTGTGTTTTATTTACAAAATGGGTACTTTTTGAGCAGAAGGTATATTGTCTTTCTGTAGTTAGAATTTTGGACATACTAGTTATTATATAATATAAGTTAGTTTAGGTTAGGGTGCTCATATTAAATGTGAAATTGTGATAGTTTTTCGTATATATTAATATTTGAGAAATGTGAAAATTTATGACTTTTTGGAGAAAATATATATATTTTTATATTTTATAAAAGATAAAATATTATAACATAACATGACCGTAACAGCAAGAAAATATAAAAATAAAATATATATAACTTAATTTATTTAAGTAATTAAATTTATTTATTAATACAAATTCCAGTTAGCTTACGGTGAACTGAAAAATGAGATACGTCCAACGAAGAAGGACTTGGACAAACGCATGTCCGAAATGCAAGAAAAACATGGTAAATTATTTAGTGTTAATATTATTAAATCAATTGTATTTGTATATATATATGTATTGTTTTTTTTTCAACACTTGCAAGTAGAGTGCTAATTGTAGAGTCAATATCACAAATATTAATACGTCACAGTTGACTTCGATTTTGCTGTAATTTTTGTTTTTGTTTTTTGAACAATATATATTTTGCAACATTTATATAACGAATTAATAGTGCTTTTCTTACTCACATTATATACATGTGACACCTATATACATACTGCATACTGAACCTACATTATATCATATATATATGTTCCTCATTCTAATCATTCACTCATTTAGTTGCACCAACCCAACTCACAGCTAAACTCTGGTTAAGCTATTGATTTGATACTCGTGGTTGTCTAAGAAATTATCTTTTTTGTATTTCAAAAACTACAATTGGTGTTTGGATAATTAAAATATATGCAAAAAAATATAATTTAAAAATTTTAATATATAATTAGTAATTAAATTATGGATTTAAAAGTCAATAGTTTATCCATGAGATTGCGCTACCTAATTTCTGCAAATAACACCCACTTAAAAAATAGCTTAAAACTAAATATGTACATTTTTAGATATATCTTTGTGTAAGTATTTTGTTAATGTATATATTCAAAATATATTTTTATAGTTGAAACTGTTAGTGAACTTGAAGAAATGATACAAAACCAGAAGCAACTCATGGATAAATTGACAAACGAGTGTAAAGTGTTAACAAATAGATTAGAGGATACCTCACTCAAGCATAAGTAAATTTAAATAATTTTATAATTTCAATCAATATATATATATATTTGAAAAATAGTCAAAATGTAAAATATTTATTTGTTTGTAATCAATAATTAATAATTTGAATTAATATTTTCAATCAATATTTTCAATTAAGAGTTTTAATATAAAAGTTGTTCCTATTTTTTTTTATTTTGTTAAATTAGTATAGTATTCTATTATTATTTCTTAATTACTTAGAACAAAGCTAGTGATAATAATTTTTGATAAAAAGTCGTTGGAAATATATCTGCCAAACTACAATACATCAATTTACTCAAATCAATTTTATATAGAAACTATAAGAAACTATGTAACCATAAAAACGATAATAGGATTAAATCTATTTAACTCATACAGTATTTTCATAACTATAGCCAATAGACTAAATGAAAGATATCATTTATGGTAAATTGTAAATTAAATTATGAAAAAATAAAATAATTATTGGTACATTATAAAATGTAAGCTTAAAAATGTGTTTCACCATCAGTTGTAATAACAGGCCCGATCAATCATAATCGTCCCAAGGATTCTCTTCCATTTAGTTCTCCCATACGTTGTTACCTAGATTTTAATAACTTTGAGTTCACCATCAAAGTTATTACCCTTGCTTGGTTTTCTATGTTTGGTCTTGTAATACTATATTAAATGCATTGTCCACATTTGAATATATGTCCTTCACATATTAATTAATACTTCAGTTTATTTTAGATATTTTATTCGGTTATTTTTTTTAAAACCTGTCGCAAAATCATAATTTGATCTAACGACAATCTGTCAGAAGTAAATGCACTTTGATATATTCGTGATTAAATTGACATTGTATTATAAATATTATTATGAAAGAATATGTTCCGGCTAGAAAGGTATTTGATTCAGTATCTGCTGGTAGAAAACACAGTACTACTACTAGTACAGTACTGGCGTTGTCGGTGAAAAGACCAGGTGGCCAACGATGTACCGCTTGGTACTACAAACTAGGGATTTCATAAATTAAATATAATTATATATTGTATATATTAAATATAATTATTATTAGAGTTATTACTATTATTATTACCAATATCATTAGTACTACTCTCTGGAGCTTAAAATCTATTATTGTATAATAGAAAAAATGTTTTTTATTTAATTTTGACATAATTTGCGACCGTTGTTTATAAGATTTAAAGTTAAAGTTAAATGACATTACTGCATTTCGTTTATAGTAATCATAAGATACGAAAAATTAAAGAAGTGCTGACGTTATGATCTTAACGCTTATCTTACGAAAATGATAGTTAACTAATATTGTGTTCACATTGCAGCTAAATTAATTTATATTAATCAAACTAAGATTTAGTCGCTTCCATTGGCTTAAATTAATTAAATCATGAATAAGAGCTTTAATGTGTCAGGAAGTTCTAGGAGAGGTTTTATTTGTTTGCATTTCAATTATGAGCAGATAATAATTAGTCGCGTATTCTTATCAGAAATTAATTAACTGATCATTGATCATTTCATGGTATATGGAAGTTATCTAATGGCCTGCCACTGCAACCAATCAACCAACTAACCAACCAAACATTTTAAAAAATTCTTACTTCTTGTTTGCTTGACTTGTTCATTTTTTGTTTATTTATATTTTGTTTCATGTGTCAAATATTTCAAATATCGATCATTTTCCTTTTGGGAAATATGTTTTGCAATGTTGCATTCGACATTTTTGGTATAATTTCCCTTGATTTATTCTTAACTGAATTAAAAAGCACGAAAGTTATTTAAACTATTTTGACGAAAGCAATGGAAACATACAATAAGTTTGGATTGATTTAAAGAGGGAAAATTATTAGATGTGTGATTAACACAAACTAAGCCTAAAAGTATACAATATATCTTTATTTTTTGTTTGATTTCGCTTTACATTAATGGAAATGAATATTTCAAATATAAATATTTCTTTACTATTTGACTATTTTTTAAGTATAAGTAAATTATATAATAAAATAGTAATTTAATGTTAAGTAAAAATATCTATCAATACAATATCTCAATCAGAGTTCCAAAAATTCATTAGAAAATAGCTTATTTTTCCACACAAAACACAAAAAAAAATTAATGTAAAAAAACAATTAAAATTACCTAAACCAACAATTAATACACAAATGTACTTAACAACAACAACAAATGCATATTGCATGGATTAACATGATGTCATTGTAAATTTTTTTTGTGCTGCTAAACGATGAAATACAATAATGCCATATACATATATAATAAATAAATGTATTGTTTTAAATAAAACAAAAATTCTGCGTAAAAAGTAACGATGACAGAAACGCAACAAATACAACAACCGCAGATTTGTACTCAAACTCAACAGAAAACGCCTATGTTAACAACAGATATGACAGCACCAATTACAGGAACAGCAGATACAACAACCATAATACCACAAACATCAGCAACAGTCAACACAACAACAGCAGCAGTGGTAAACAACAACAAAGCAACGATAGAAAACGCAAACGTGTGCGTTTCTCCGATTGATGTTGATGATGATGAGGTCACATTAGCGAATATAATTAAGAGCAATGAACGTTTAGAATTCGAATTAGCCAAAATCCCCCCTTTACCAAAATTATCGGCGTTCAAGCGATTCGACACTCAAAGTCACACAGATAGCATTAAACAAGTGCTTAGTAGTAGTAGTGTTAGTTTACACAAGGATTCATGCAAATATTGTAGTGCACAAGTAAAAAATGCGAATAAACTAAGAAATTTGTATAAAAATAAGTTTTTAAATACATCAGCGCCTACACTGCAAATAAAACAAGACAAAATAAAAACATCGACTATAGAAAACGATAGGCCATTAACAGGTCTTCACACGCAGGAGCCACAACATCATCATCATCATCACAAACACTTTCACGAACACACGGCAGGCTCGCACCCTAGAGACAAACCTTTTAGTGCTTGTAGTGCAAATGTAGAATCCATAACCGATTTTTTCATTAATAAACCAAATATAAATAAACCGAAAACAATATGTACGAAATGCACAATGTGTGCATCACCTCGCACACCGGTATGTTGCCCAACGGATCCGTTGCCTTTGCTGCAACAGCATCTAGTTGTGAATCAAACCTTTGGTGGCCTACCGGAATGCAACTGTGGCTTGTGTCAGAGCTCATGTCAAACGCAATTGACTGAGCGCACTGCCACTACAGCTACAACAGAAGAGTATGAAAAAGATAGATATAGTTGCAGATTACCTAATAGTGCTTTAGTGCAGTGCTGTCCAAGAGATTGCCATAAGTCGCGCTCTCAAATTGCCTCGGAGAAGAAGCTGACTAAAGAAGTAACCAAGAAATCAAAACCTGTTAAAGTGGATATAAGTGTGCGTCTGGTTCCAAAAGACAAGAAAAGTAAAAGGAGTGAGTCGGAAACGGGTATAATTGATATAAAGACTGAGAATAGGACGGATGATGAGAGTAGTGGTGATTTAAAAACAAGTTTTGTTAAATTGGTAGATGCTGAAAATCAGTCCTCAGAGAATGAAACTAATTAAAGACAATATCATAATGGTTAATATTGAACATTTTTTTCTATATACTCCTATTAAATACCAACCATATTTTTTATAAATATTATTATTATATATATTTATTTTATTTCATAAGTCCACAGAAAAATGCTCTTTACGGTTTATAAAATTTTTTAAATTAATATTATATTTGTTCAAAATATATATTTCTAACATTTTTTCCTAAAATTATTAATAGTCAGGAAAAACAACAATTACGTGATACAAATGAGAAACTTATGGATCGTCTAAAACAGATATGGGCCAGCTATAAAGAACTAAGTTTCAAGCAAAATACACATCTCGGAAGCAACGGATCAATAAAACTTAATAATGATAGTAATTTAATTCGGGAAGAGCATTTTTCCAATACTGCACAGAATTTAGTAAAGGTAATTGTTATATGAATATGAATTTTACTAATTATTTCTGTTTTTTTCTTTTTCTCCTGTCTCTGTCTTCCTGTCTCTTTTGTATTTTCTTTTCTCATATGCATTTTCTCCATCAATGTATGATTATTGGAAAAGAACGGAACTATCGACTCTACAATCGAATGTAGAGTACTTGACAAATCGTATGTTAAATAATGAACGTTCTCCGACCTCTTACAATAGTTTACCATCTGCTAAAGGTAAATTCTAAATTAGGAGGAAGAAAGACACTAAACACAAGAAATACACAAAATTTAAACACACAATTCGGAAATTATTGAAGGCACAATAGAACTTGCCAGTTAATATAAAATTATAATAATACGGGTCCTTACTGTAGTTTTCGTCTATATTCATCCCGATTTCCAGCATGTACTTTCTAATAATGTGCATCCAGTCACACTATTCATCTGATTTAGGTTTGAGTAACCTCTAATTAGATTCTCTGCATACTTAACTGGGTTACATTCAACATGATGAATTAAGAAATAGAATGAGTTAAAAGAAATGTGAAATAGTTAATAGTTACAATGTTTTACTTAATTTTAAGATGTTCGACTGTGATAGAGAAAAAATGAAGGCATCAGTTACTATGAAAACGGAATAAGTACGAAAAAACTTTTTAAATGAAAAAGTGTATGAGCGTATATACTTGATTAATAATTGGTTCCGTAGTCGAGTGTCCAGAAAGTAGCGAATATTCAGTGTTTAAGCAAAATTATTTTATAGGTTTAAGAAAACTAAAGAGCTTTTTTTAAAATATAGTTAATAATATTATTAGCCATTGAGAAATTGGAATTAATATCAAATATTCATCCCTTTTTAGGTGTCTACGAACTAAATTTAATAAAAATAATATAACCCAGCTTATTAGTGTATTACATTTAGACATAAATGTTCATGATTTCTATTTTTTCTTGGCGAAATGTAATAGGTGATCTATTTTTGAAAGATAACCTTTCTGAAAACATAACTGAAAGACATACAGTCTCCAGAAGAAATTGTTTACCAAACTAATTTAACTATAAATATGTGACCCATGTTCTCTTGTTATAAAAATGTTTAAATAAATAACAATTTATAGGTTAGGGATCTCGATTCAATTTTATTCTGTAATAACTTATAACATAAGATATATTGATACATTGTTTATAGTTAACGTATTTTTCTAAAATTTATGGAAAATTAAACCATGAATAGTATTTAAAGTTTTCTGAAATATATTCCATTAACACATTTTATCGCATTTAACATTTCAGCAACCACAGAACACTTCACGAAACATTTTTTACTATTATTCCTATATCTTCTTCTTAAAAGTTAATTTCTTTTAATAAATATTATTTCATTTAAAATAGCCTCTCTCGACTACAAGCCGACCACATTTGGCACAACCGATACCGCGCGCATCCTCAGCGACTACAGCAAAACCTCTCCATACAATTACGACTCCATCCTCGCTAAATCAACAACAGCCGATACTTACCCCACAGCAACTACTGCGGCAACTACAGCAGCGTCATCCTACGATATTGATGCCATTAAATCCAAATACGAAACTTCAAGAATCGATAACGGAATCAGTGACTACAAGCCCAGCTATAGCTATGGACTCGACGAAAACGACGATGAAAATCTCAAAGACAACATCGGCGAAGGAGAAAAGCAACAATATCAGCAGCAACGAAAAGATGAAGGCAACATCGGGGAAATCAGCACAACTGAACATAAAACCAAACCAACCTATGAGCTCAACTCCAACTACAACGTCGGCGAAATACAAAAAACGGACACAAACATGGCCCCTGCCGCAATCAGTGACTACAACAATGACTACAGCGGCTACGAAGGCTACGATCAGCAACAATATGATGCAAGCGCGTACGATACAACATATGATCCGCAACAATATGATGGTAGCCAACAACCATATATCGGCAACGAGCAATACGACACCAGCGCAGGACAAGCATACGACACAAATACTGAACAAGGTGGTGGATACAGTGACTACACAGCCGCCGACTACAACACTACAACATACGAATATGATACCCCAAATACTGGTACAACAATCTCCAGTGAACCTCAACAACAACAACAACAACAGCAACCACAAGCAACAAAAACCAACAACGAAATCAGGTCACCACCGCCGGCAACACAACCAACACCAATCACATCAACGACACCGATTGGCGCAGGAAGCAGCACGTTGCCTGGAAGCCGCACAACAACAGAAAGCCGCCCTCAACCACGAACGAGCGGTGGCACTATGGGCTCAACATCTGCAAGTGGAGCAGTCAGCGGCGGAAAATCCAATCTGCCACAACAGTCCGCCACGGCAGCTGCCAAAAAGTAATTACGTAGTACAAAACGCAGCGGATAACATCGAATTATTCGATCCATTTGAACTGGAATTTAGTATAAGTAGTCCAAGTTTATTGCGCTCCTTTAGTTCAGAAACCTTTACGATTATAAGTGATGAATTCGATTCTTTATCTGAAATGAGCATTTCTCCCGCTACGACAGCGATACGCAGAATACCACCAACTGACACCAGTGGCAGTAATGCTCAAAATAATGAGCAAAGAGGTGGTGAAGAGAAAGAGGATGGAAGTGCAAATGTTAATGAAAAAGTTAAGAAGGTAGCAGTAAAAAAATAATAATAGTTATAAAAAAAATAAAAATAAATATTTTCGAAAGGACACAAAAAAATAGTAAAGACATTGTTAAAAGTCATTATAATAAATTAAAAATGAATAATAATTTACTTTTAAATATACTTATAAAATAAAATATTAAAATATATAAAAATATTAATTTAAAAAGCATGCAAATAAATATTATATTAATAATACAACAATGTCAAAATAAGATAAAATTATAAAAATTTTGAAAGTAATGAATTTTTTTTAGAATATTAGAAGCTTTAAAAATTTTTATTTTAATATGAACACAAATTTGTAATATAATAAATATATTTAATATACTTTAAATCATGAACATGCAATAAATTTAAAATTACCATTGATACTATTTTTTCATTACATAACATTTTATGGTAATTGATTCTAAATGATCCAATATTCTTCAATCACTTCTTTAGAAAAATTAATACTCTGGACTTGATATCGTTTATCACATTTTAAGAAAATACGCGAAGCATTTTAAAAGTTAGTCAGCAAATTATTAAGTAACTTAAAAAGAGAAATTAAGTTTCTGATTCCATATAATTATTCAAAATATTACTTTTAAATTTTAGAAAAGACATCTGCTTTCTATATTTTATACAGCAGGATGAGGATAGGCGACAGGCTAATTCGGTCATTGTTAAAGGAACTTTAAAAGCGCATGAGCTATTTAGCTATTTGTAATATAATAGATTTCTAACTTCAATTTCGTCAAAACCGACATCCCAGAAGTGCGATTTAAACTCAAATGTTATAAAATTATGACAGTATTACAAAAATATGACGGATTTCCCTTACCAATACCATTTTAGATACACATATTTATAAAATCATATTTACTAGTCACGCACATTTCACATATAATAATAAATTAAAAAAGAAACGGCTAAACGTATTTTTGTATTTCCCTTGATTAATTGATTTCAAACAATTTTATGGCATGACTACTGTCACTCGGTCACTTGAGCAACCTCCTGACGTTTTCCAACCTAGCATCCTACTAATTACCTTACTATCCGTCATGAGTTATAAGCTTCGCTAATACCTTTCATTATGATTCGATGAGTTGCATTTAGCTGTTCCCATCATCCCTCTCTATAACCACGATTAGCGATCCTGGTTATAGAGTTTACAAGCGAACTACGCTTGTACAATAACCACACTCCCTTCATTAATTGTCCCATTCTTTAGTTATTTTTTAATTATTGTCCATGCTTTCTGAATTAGGTTGACTTAGTTTTCTTAGTATGATATTCTCCACACCTTTATCCTTCGCGGTCAATGTCTGGAATGTTTATTATTCCTTCCCAAAGGGTTAAAGGGTTTTAAAGGGTTAATGTCTAACAATATGGCTTTTGATGCTTTCCATATACTGGAAAAAGAGCACGATTCATCGCGGTCAATGGCTGGAATGTTCATTATATATTCCCAATAGGGGGTTTTAATGAGTTAAAAACTTACAACGTGAGTTTTGATGCTTTCGACATACCGAAAGGAAAGCGTAATCATTTGACTCTGGATTTTGGAAAAGACAGCAGTTTTTTCCAATCCACTACATGCCTTTAAAACTTACTTTCAGAGATATGTTGCTTAAAATTGGATATTTTCACAAGACAGCTACCAACAACAAGAGATGTCGTTAGGATAAGTAATATAAAAATTGCATCTACTAATTAGCGCTAGATAGAGAGTGAAGTTTTTTTTTTTTAAAGTAATCAATGTAAATATTATACAATTTTAAACATCAATATCTCGAAAGCTAAACAATATTAGCATATAGAATGACTTTACTAAAGTCTGTTGTCAAATCGTGGTATCCGGAAAATTAAAACCGCCCCTACTTACGTTGTTATATTTAAAATTAAATTATAGTATTCATGTTGTAAGAAAGTTACAAATAATATAGTTAATTTAATTATTAAAATATCACATTGAAACTTCAAATAATTTAAAAAAAATATTCGTTCATATATTAATTAATTTTTCTGCACATGATTTTCAGCAAACACAAATACCTTTAAAAATTATTTCATCCATATCTAACACAAATCATCATTAAATCTGATGTCTGTTTTAGACTTTTACAAGATACATTGAGGTTGCTTACAGTTTATTGGCTTTTAATATGGAATTAATAGGGACATTGATATGAACTTGTAAATGCCAAAATAAACATGAAGAGTGCTTCATGTGAAATCTCAAGAGGTTTAACATAAGTGCGATTGATATAAGGCATAACACAATGGCTTAAGTTGAATGTTTGGTAATTTCATAATACCTTAAAGTTGTTTAATTAATATAAATATACAAAAAATTATTAAATATTTAGATTGTTTGAGTATGTAATTTTATTTCCATCATATTTATAAAATTATTTATATGTATTGTTAGAAAAAAATGAGTTATTTAAATCATTATCCACCTAAAGCTACAATTTATTAAACCTATCATGCAATATATAGTATGAATTTTTATGACTTAGAATCAATCCAGAAAAATACCCATTCTCAGCTTTCTTAAAAATTGCTGACTTTGCATAACTCATCTAGTGATAATATAATAATACAAAGGCTACTAAAAAATACGCAATGTCTGAAAAAATTATAAATATGGTCAAATTTTTCAACAATAAGAAGACCTATTTTTTAGTGATACAAAATTATTCTCTCATGGTTTTTTTACCATCACGGCGTTATTCTATCATATCCCGTCCTAAATTTATGTGTTTAACCGGTTCTAATTGCAAGTGATTAGGCGATTTATTTTTCAATTGTCTTTATATGCTTTTAAGATATTTATTTTTGATCACCAACAACTATACGTTACAAAAATTATTTTTACACTTGCATTTCGGGTAGGATATATAGAATATTTAAAATAAACGAGATATTTGTTTTCTCGGGAAGCGGAACACTGCGATCATGATCGACCTTTCTTATTACGTACTGACCTTAACAGATCTGAATACAGTTCTCCTTTCAAATGAAAGTCAAACTTTCATGTGAGAATTTGACTGCAAGTTTTATCCGTCTCTAAGCAGAGACAACATTTTGTCTCCTTAGATAGACCCATCTAGTTAAGATTATAATGCAGCTCATGACACATCGACAGATTATCAGCTAACTACCTCAATTCCGTCTTCTAAGAAGGTACCCTGTACCTTAGTTCAATGGGCGCAGCAGCTCTTTGGTCTCGCGACATCTATTAGCTAGAAACCAAATTTTTTTAGAGACCTTCTTGTAGAACAATTTATACCATAATAAGGCTCCGGTTCACAGCTTTGAGTCGCTAATTTAGTCCTCTCGAGATTATCTACAGACTCTTTTCCATTAATTCCTGAACAGACAATCAGCAAAGTGACGTTCTGTTTTTAATTAATATAATGTAAATAAAAATCATAAACGCCATTTAAAATAAAAATAATTTTAACTTGCAATTAATTAAAATGAGAAATAATGCTTTGTTTGTTTTTTGATTTTTAATGTATCCATAACTTTAATTGATTTAAATTCTTTGATTAAACCTGAGGTGGTTACAAAATTTATATTAATAAATACATAATTCAATTAATTTCAAAAAAACCTGAAATACATCTAGTAAGTTTTGTTTATGTTCTCTCTTTACCGTCGTCAAGAGAGTAATATGCACTGGCAATTGTTTTTTTTCCTTTCCAATCCCATGTGTGCGTTATGACATCAAATTTAGTAGTACCGAGTTGTACTGGGCAAGGTTCTGCAGAATTTAATAAAAAGCAGACTGTATAAAGACTCATCTCTAGTTCTGGGGTAGTACCAATTAGAAGTGTGTTGTAAGGTTTAACAATGCCGTGAAATTTGAATCGTAGAGCCACTAAGAATTTGTTGTGCTAAAAGTTAAGAATTTGATTATATAAATACAACAAATTAATTAAAATAAATATATATTTTTTTTATTATATATATTAGTTTAAATAACGATACCATAAATATATTAAAATCAATAATAATTAATCAATTAACTAGTAGCGGATACTAAGGTCGAGGCAATGCAGATCAAGGTCAGGGCCATTGTAATGCCATATGATCTCGGGGATTAGCGACTTAAATAATTTTTACAAAAAAATGCTGCATGGGCTTGACTCACTAATGGTGCTTTAAGCACATCATAAATTTCCAAAATTGCTTATTTTAAAATCTACATAGAGCTTTAATTGTATCGATGGGTTCTAATAGGTTTATACAAAGCATACGATCAGCGAAATAACCGAACCTATTGCTGCGACTTGCAGTCGGCAAGACATACAGTACAGGCTATCGAAAGCGAAGCAAGCGTTTGGAACCCTTAACAAAATCTGACGTTCATCCAACATCACACAACGCACTAAGATACACCTGTACAATGCAAACGTAAAACCAACTTTACTATATGGTAGTGAGAGTTGGAACCTAACGGCAAGAGACGCACAACAGCTACAAGCCTTTGTCAATCGTTGTCTACGACGCATCCTTCATGTATTCTGGCCAGCAACCATAACCAATAATGAGCTCTGGTTTAGAACGAATCAGCCTCTTATAACTGATGAAATAATGATGCGCAAATACAAATGGCTTGGCCACACGTTAAGAAAACCCGCTGATGATATCGCAAAAAATGTCTTAGATTTCAACCCTAAAGGCAGTAGAAGACCAGGGCGTCCGCGCAACACTTGGAAACGACAAACTGAAGCCGAATTAAGAAATGCTGGAAAGAGCTGGAGTGAAACAAAACGTCTTGCATTAGATAGAGTTCAATGGAAACTATTTGTTACGGCCCTCTGTTCCACCTAGGAATAAAAGGATTAAATAAATTGCTGCGACTTGGAAGTACTATATTAATTAAAATATGAAATTCATACCAACATGATTTGAAGTTAATTAATAATTAACTAAATTAGTAATTTTACTCAATTTTTTTGGGAATTAATAATCGAAAAATTATTATTTGAAGTGTATAATATATTAAAAATTAAGTAACAAATAAGTTAGATAATATTAAATTTGCCTCTTCAATTAAAAGTACATATTTGTTAAAAATCAGCGATATTTACTTTTTCAGAAAAAATAGCATTAATAATTAAAACAAATGATGAACTAAAATTGTGATATTTCGAAAGCATATTGATAAGGAATATATATATATTATTCCTAAACAGTCAGTTACATGCCCGTAACCTGAAATTGACAGGTTTTTAAACTGTAAATTAAAGCAATAAAGTTATTATTTTTAATTAATTTAATTTTTGGCTGACCATACCGCGGTTTGGCGTAGTGCCAAATACCCATAATTTAATATCCAATATTTGTTATATTTCTTGATTCATAATTAGCCTACTGACCCAAGGCCGTACATGATTTGTCTGTTCGAACTTAGGAGTTTTGTTAATTTAATTCATTACCAAATTCACTTGCCTGATTAATTTAATTTATTAATTACAGCTTTTTGATTGTTGAATTTTAGTACTAAACTTTTTATAGTAAAAATTTTTAATTTATTATACAGTCATGGTGCATTTATAATTAAATCTGCCACCTCTCTTTGACTGCATTTTAGGCTATGTGTTACTATTTATACTCACTTTATCTAAGTCCATGTGATTTATAAAACCTTGATATTCTAAATTGCCTTGGGCTTCCTGCTCACTAAAATATATCCAATTGTGTAACCCCAAAATGTTTTGGTTTTTGATTTCAGAAAGAAACACATGTTCAAAACCAGAACTACCAATGCGTCCTTGTCCACGGGAATACTGTGTAAACCATATGTCTTTAAGAAGCTGCAATTGGGCCTCAACACTATCTTCGACCACACCTATATTTAAAAGAAAATGATATCTACATAAATCTTAGCTGAGAGCAATCTTTACCTTTCTTATGTAAGAAATTCATAGTGCGCTTCATGATTTTTGTCTTTAAAATTGCTTGCAAGAAGTCCAACTCTTCTTGCTGTTCAGCTGGAGTAACCTTTTCCACTGCAGACGAATCCAATTCATAATTGTCGAAAAGGCGTTTCATCAAATAAGTTGTGGAGGTAGTATCTGAGTCTAATAGATTGTTATTCAATTGCAGTAAACTGAAATGAAAATGTATAAGTAAAATATGAATAATTTGAGAAAATTTGGAAATTACTATTTGTGGAGTAACTTACGGCTTTGGTGCACGATCGTCCCGCTTAAAGGAATGTGTATTGCCCTGGAAGTTTACATGTTGCAGGTACGGATTGTCTTTGACTTCATCTTTGAATAAATTTTGGGTAAGCTCGAGAATATCGTGCTCAATCTCCGCATCTTTATCATTGTCTATGACATCACGCAGAAAGTATTCTTTAATTATATGCAATGAAATATGAAAACGTAATCGATTAATGGTGGAAAATTTTTTGTAGACTTCAGTGTCTTACCATAGAAATGATAGCCCAAAATAACCAGAGTAACTATAACACCAAATAAAATAAAGCGCTTCAGCTTCGTGTATTCATCGCCACTTTTGTTCCGATTGTTATTTACCGCGGCAGGCATTGTTTTTTTCTTTTTTGTATAATTAATATTACTAATAAAATTAAAAAAGATTTCAAGATATTTTTATCGAATTATTTTATTTTTACACAATTTGTTTGGTTTTTTAGCATCTCAACAAAACACTGCCAAACAGCTGAAACGTCATTTGCCAACAAGAGCGCATACCGTTGCTCTCTGTTTAGATCAGCAAAACGTAAACCACATGTATTTGATTAGTTATTATGACGTCACAATGCCAACAACTGACATTTGGATAAATCCCATGGGAGAAATATTTCAGTCTAGCTTTGTTAGCTGCGTGCTCTGGTGTTGTCTCAGCATTATTATTTCTCCAAATGCTTGTTTGTGTCGAGTTCTTTGGAATTTATTTAACAATGCATGCTACAGTCAGCATAAAAGCGATGCTTATAATTACATAAAAGTTAACAACAAATGCTCAAACTTCATAAGATATATATCGATACAGTCAGCATAAGTTTGATGCTGGTATTTACATAATGTTTAACAGCAAACTACATAGCAAACTACATAGTAAAAACATGACATTTGAATCTGTTAAAAATAAGATACAATAATTAATTTAACCTCTGTTAAGCGCTTAACTCAAGACATTTTTAACATTAATTGTCGTAGGCAGTAAAATTTGATGACTTTTCCTAAGTATGCTTTGGCATATGCTGACCTGTGTTAAATTGGTTTTATTACAATGCCTTTATTTATTATTCAATGTGCGCTACTAGACTTTTGTGTATTTAAATTAACGTTTAATATATTTTGGCTTTATTAGTTTTAGTATTTAATTCATGATTTCCCTTTTAATTCGCAGTTATAGTTTCTAACGAGGTGACAGGTGTTCACAAAATAATGCAAATACAGTCATCGTTAACATGCAAAGAGTGTCTGACTAACAAGAATCTAGTCGGAAGCTTCTGTTTAAATAATTTTTTATAATTATTATATTATATAATATACAGCTTTTACATATTTACACTTTTCATACAAAGTGTGAAGTACACATATTAAGGTCGTGTGCGAGTTCGAGTAAATTGATGGTAAAATGAGGGAAATAGTAAATTATGTCGATATGGCAGCGAATGTTGGTATTTCCCAGAATTTCGAATAGGGTAAATTAGATAAAAATTAGATGAATTAGGTGTGACAATTGTGAAAATTTTATAAGATGTTTAATAAATAAATAAATAAATTTGAAAACTTATAACCAAAAAAAAATAAGTGCAATAAATAAATAAATAAATATTTACATAAGTGCAATGCAAAAAATCCCTAGGAAATTTCAATTTACTTTACCTCAATTTACTCGAACACGCACACGGCCTAAATTTGACAAGCTGGTTGATAATGCAGTAAAGTAACATCAGACATGTTCAAATAAAATATGTTTTATATTATGTTATATACAATAGGGCAATGTTGTCGTTGTTCAAGGCAAACACGCGCAATCTGTGCGTTTTGTGCACCTTGCAATGAGTTTGCAAGACCGAGTGAATATCCCTAATATATGTATACAACACTATCTTTGACGACGCCTACAGCTAAAAGACAGTTATATCTAACTGTATAGATATGATATACATATAGCCTCTTGATCTAAGTGAAAAAGATTTAAACATATTCGTCTGTTTGTCTGTACATTTGAAAAATAATAGTTTGCAGGAGGCCAAGAATCTTTTAAACTCAAAAAGATATAGAGTTTCTTTCCCCTTGGAAGCTCTTATCACATCACATCTTCCAAGTCGAAATATGTGCTATCAAAGGCACGTCAGAAGATTTCAGAAAACAGTTCACAAAATTGACAGTAGAACAGCAATTCTTGAGTTGTCCAACCATAGTACTAAATCAAAGCTTGTAAACTGGTGCAAATATCAACCGACGACAATGAGTCACCAGTTTACAATATCATTCAAATGGATTCAAGAGGTCTAAAGAATACAAGAAAATAGAATTGATATAGAACTACAATAGGCTACGAGTAGTTTGAGCTAGAATCAATCGCAAACGAAAGTTTTACTAGGCAGAGTCAAGCTGGACTCTATAGCGGGCGTCTATGCTAAAAAATGGAGCTTTCCCCTTAATCAAAAATGCAAAAGCTCCAAGGAAGAAAAAGAAATAACTACACATTATTTTTATAAACACCTCTGTCTGGCTAGATTCAAAAATTCTATTATAAAAATCTATAAAGTATGAGATTTCCTAGTCCAAAATTGTTCTTACTAGGGCTAAATGGAAGATTAGAGAGTAATACCAAAAATTGAGTTTTTCGTTAAACCAAAAATGCAAAAGCTGCAAAAAGAAGCAGAAACAACTAGAGATTATTTTTACAAATGCCTCGACCTGACTAGATTGAGAAACTTTACTATAGGAATCTATAAGCTAATGAACTTGACGAAAATCAGAAACATAGATCATGATACAGTAAGGCTTATAGAATGCGCTCGCTTTGTTTCGTGAAATGAATGTGTTATGAAGGTCTTATGCAGAAATAAAAGGTCTTAAAAGGCCTGATACAGAGACCTTGCGATAAGAAGGCATTAAAGACGACTTTTGGAAAAAGATTGTATATAAAAATAATGTGATACTTTACCTCTACCCATAACCTTAATAATATGATATATAAATAAGATTTATTTATTATATAATTTCTATTATTATTATTATCACAATAATGCAAATAGTATTGGTATTTAGAATCATATTTATATATATATATATATATATATATATATATATATATATATAAAAGTAGCACGTGAAATAAATACTATTGAAATTTGTTCCACACAATTATTTTTAGTTTTTATTATTCAATTCCACATTTACTATTTCCCTTATTAAACTACTAATGAATAGTCCATAAATATTTTGATTATGCCACTCATTAAATAATTGCTTTTAAAAATTATTTTTTTGCATTCAGCATGGCTGGGGAACCGGTGGCCATGACAATATAATGACAATTTGCCACCAAATAATAGAAGTTGCAGTAATCAAGCTTCTTCATATTTTACATTATAGTAGTAGTCAATATATTATATTATTAAAAATAAAATATCATAACATAGTAATGGTTTTTATGAAAGAAAATAATTTTATGAAGGGTTTAAATTTTGTGGCATCAAATATAAATATCTTATTTGTCTTTATCAGAAATTTCTATCCCGAAAGCTTAGACCATCCCCGGTACACCAAAACTAATTAGGAAACATCAAGACTTTTTTTAAATTTTGTTAATTTATTAAAATGTTGCACTTATATTGCACTACGAAATTTCTCTAGAGTAGCAAATATATTATTAGCTTTATTTGTATCCAATTTCAATAGAAACAGAATACTTCCCACTTGGTTAAAATTTTATATTCGTCAACTATACTGATCTCTTGTTATATATTCTTCAATGTAATTCAGATTTGTAATATATGTATTTACTTAACAATCATCACCATCATTTTATAAAGTAATCCAATTAAATAGACAAAATACTTTCTGGTTCAAATAAAAAATTAATCAATTTCCTAAAAAGCTATTTTGCAAAGATCGGGTGGTGTTTTAGCCAGATGAGAACTTAAAATGATAATGTAAGACAGAAATATTATTGGAATGAAATTTTATTTTACTATAATCTAGTTAATAATTTTCTGGCATTTATTTTTGAATATGTTTCCGTCGTGGCTATGAGGCCGTATGTCGCCAATGATGGCATGAACATAAATTTCCAATGCTTCAAGAGTTGCTGGTGCTTCAAGAGTGAGATTAAACCAATGACTTAAATAGCCCAATAAAAAGTATTCAACAGGCGTTAAATCGCACGAACTCGGGGCCCATTAATAGGATCACTTCTGGAAATAAAGTTATTACCAAATTAATTTCGCAATAAATTGTTTGTAAATTGATTGTTATACGCAAATGCCAAATGTCTTCGATGTTTAACTGATTAAATTTTGGAAACAAAAATTCAGTCAGCATGGCTAGATAGTGCTCGTCTTTTGCCGTAATGGTAGCTCCTTCCTTATTTCCAAAGAAATAAGGACCTATGATGCAGTCAATCTTAAGGAATAACATATAATGGTGATTCATTAACGACTTGAGGATTATTTTTGCTCCATATACCGGAATTTTGCAAAAATATTATATACTGTGATATATGAACATATAATATACATATTAATTCTGTCACAGTATTCAAACGAAGGCAATATTTAAGTGGGCTAAATGCTAACTACTGAAGTGTGGTTTTTCACATTTAAGTCTTAACTAGAACGAAACTTTGTATCGTCAACATTGCTTATATATTATATTAAGTTAAAGACGGGCATTATTTTAAATAGACACATCAACGAAATACGAAAAAATACTATTGATTTGAAAGAATCATTATTAAAAATTTAGAACATATTGATTTTTTGAGACTTATTATTAAATGAAACCCCGATTTTACAGTTATACGTCTTAGTACCTACTTAAGTAATAAGTATGGCTTGATTTATATCAAAGTTGATTGTTTTAGCATAACTTCAGTTACTTAAGTAAACGACTAATAGGGACCCTACCTCGAAGTAATACTTACGTAGTCCCAGGGTACAACTAGGGGTAGGAATGAGTGGGAGTGGTTTAGTCTGTGCGAGTCGGACATTGATTTTCCGGAGCGCTGGATTTTGGCATAGGCATTACACTGCTCCCGCCGCAAAAAAAAAAAAAAAATAACAGCTTCTTATTATTTTCATGCAAATGATGATGAGTTTTTTGACAGCAAAGAACAAAAAAATTATAGGCGTGGTATCATACTACTCTCAGAAAATTGGCAAAAAAAATTGGACCCTAAAAGACAATACATGTTTCAATAAAATAATTATTTACTATTACAAAATTGTCTTTCATTTTTATATAAAATAACAAATTTTCTTTGCGAACGTTATAGGTGTATCGTACATGATATAAAAGTTATGTATGTTTTCTGGTGCAAATTAAATTAAAATATAATTAAAAAATTGTAACAATAGTTAATTATTTTTAAAATTCCTTATAAACTTCGGTTCGGTGAGTTTGTCAACACAAAAGTCGTATTAATTACCGACAATTTGTGATAATTAAAACACAAACCTTTGTATTTTTCAAATAAAAATTAGTTAATTTTGAAAAAAAAAAATAA